TCAAACCAAAACCACACTGAATAGTCCTATCTCTAATTAAATTAATCAACACTACCTTACTCCATGTATACCATTCCTTAACACACAACAATAAAGTTTCAAATTAATTTACAAGCATTATGGGCAACATATAATTGTCCCTAATTTTTAAGAAAAATTTACAAAATCTTTGACATATTCCTGATATTCCTAACCAGTGGCCACCCTGGATACACACTTTATGCAAATACAAATATAAAGTATAATTAACAAGTAATATTACTATTACGGATATTATTGAAAATGATACAAAAAGTATCTCTTACCTTCATGTCATTTGTAAGGCCCTGTAACCTGGATATGGCAACACTCAAAAGAAATGTCTTTTCCAAATGAAATGTTACCTTTAAGAGAATAAAAATGATAGAAAGAAAACAAGATTATCTGGTATCAAATCCCAAATTCAAATTGAGGCTTCAATCTAAACAAGAACAGTTTTAATATAGATTTAATTTTTTTGTATCGAAATGTTTTCATAACCCAAAACCCCTTAATTTTCAGAAATTACGCACACACAAACAAAAAATTGACCACTTATATTACCAGGACAAATCTCTCAAATCAAAATATATGGTAAGCCTAATCTTAACTAAAAAATTATAACAAAAAAGACTTGCTAAAAGCAAAAGACACATGAACATATTTAGAACCACTGAAAGTTCTTAGTATCATCATTGGATTTTAATCATACACACACAAGGTGCGATGGGTAAATTGTCTCCATTCTATATTTTTAATTTTGTGCATACGTGTTGTTTGTTTTTGATTTTGTCAACTGCACAGTATAGGGTCAGCTGGGCATCATCAAAAAGAGCCCCATAACGCAATTCACATGCCAGAAATTTGAAAACAGCATGCTGCATTGCTTGGCATTCATGCCGGAAGCACCAGTATGAACATTTCAATCAGAGAACACTGCAGAGGACTCAGAAAAAGTTGGAGGAGTCTAATGGTGATTACGAAGGTATCTGGAGTGATCACTAGTGATGGTGATATAATGTCTGACAGGGCCTCAGACTCAACACAGAAACCTACGTCACGTGCCTTGAGGAGGTAGCACTGCCCTGGGTCAAGAGGGTGGCTTCTGGAAGACCCTATGTCTGACAACAGGACTCTGCACCATGCTACACAAGCAGGAGAACCAGTTATGGTTGTCAGACAATTTCTGTTACTACATCACCCCTTATATCTGGCCACCTAACTCTCCAGGCTGCAACTCCCATTGATTAAAGAAAAGGCAAGGAAGTAAGCACCCATCAATACTGGAAAGAGTGATAACAGCTACTGGACTTGAGAAACCTATTTTCCTGAAAAACTGTTTTAAAAGTAAGATCTCATAAATTTCAACCGACGGTGGATTGGCTGCTCAGTCAAAGAATGCTGAACATTTCTTTATAAGGAATCCAGACAAAAAAAAAAAAAAAAAAAAAATTCAATTAAGTAAAGAAATACGAACCTCTTTTAGAAAGTAATTTCTCGATTCACGAATAGATTGGTTATATTCTTCAAGTTTTTCAGATGTAAGCTCTTCTTGTAGAACATCATTTGAAATCTTTAACTGAATGAATTCTGTGACAAGCTTCCAGATCCGAGACTGCCATGCTAATACACCCCGGAATTCTGAAAGACCAACACAGGTATAATAATAACCACAAAAAATTGATAAATAAACAAAAATAAATTCTGTACATAAATAGGCTGAGAATCCTTTATCCAAAATTCTTGGGACTGGAAGTGCTTCAGGTTTCAGATTTTTTTAAATTTTAATTTTTGGTTTGGTTTGTTTTACGGCATATCAACTTTAATGGGTTATTTAATGCCAACATGATTTTTATTGTTGGTAATATATTTTTTTGTCAAAAATATATTGCTGGTAATAATTTTTACAAAGTATTTCTGGTATTAAAACCTATTTTTACACTTTCATAGTGTTCTGACCTCAGTTTGGGGGTCTAACTATTTACACATAGCTGCGACCCTAACAGGTACTATCACCCCGGGTCAGGGTGGACCTGAGAACACCAGCAATTAAGAGGTGGTTCTATGCTCCTCAAAACTTCCTGATCAGAGGCCTTGCTGTTGGATGTAGTTTATTGTCATACCCAGGACACGGATGTAGTTTAACATCATACCCAGGATGATTTGATTTTGGAATACAGGTTATTTAAGTTGTATATAGCATCTATAAAATGGGGCAGCTTGGGTATTGGAATAAATACAATATCTCTTTACATTTCATAACACAGCTTATACATATACCCTGAAGGTAGTTTTATATAATTCATACTTATTATAAAACCCAGGTTGTGTGTGTGTCTGTATGTTTATATATTGGATTGGATTTCCTACATTTTTCAACCAATTTCAACAAAACTTCACAGGACTACGTAAAATTACCTTGCGCTGGTTCTGACAGCGCCAAAAATTGGAAAAACAATTGTTTTTGCACAAAATCAATTTGAAAACACGATTAAGAGGCATTGCTTTTGTGGAATGAAAGGGGGACAACTCATATAGAGTTATACTTATAAAACCCAGGTTGTTTGTGTGTGTGTGTGTGTTCATTTATATATTGGATCGGATTTCCTACATTTTTCAACCGATTTCAACAAAACTTCACTTTTTTTTGGCAGGTAGTGTTTCTTATTGTCTTGCACACTTTTTACTTCATTTTTACATTCAGAATGCTTTAAAAATCCCATTTGTTTATAATAAAATTCTATTCAATCGGTAGACTCATAACGATTGAAAACAATGTTTTTTGTTTGAGTTTGGGTTTGACCAATTCGTAAAAAAAAAAAAAAAAAAAAAAAAAAAAAAAAAAAAAAAAAAAAAAAAAAAAAAAAAAAAAAAACAAAAAAAAAAAAACAACTAATTAAAACATGCATGTCCGTCAACGTTAAACAATAATCTTTGTCAATTTTATTTTTCAGTCTTTATGATGGTCGATACTTGATCTATCTCTTACTGTTACATCCCCAAGCAACGCCGGGCTCTACTGCTAGTAATATATATCCTGAAGGTAGTTTCATATAAAATTTAATAAATTTTGTGTACATACAGATGCATGGATTCTTAAGTAGTGAAATTAAGATTTCACGTAAAAATAATGTTTTGTATTTTCTCTATGTATAGAAAAAAAACATGATCACTACTTACAAAAAATATAAAAATGCAGGACTTTTTGAATAATATCTTTACTCAGCATGAAGCACCTGATAAGTAATCCCCAAACAAAGGTGTTGCAGTGACAACTGCTAATAAAAAATTGGCGCCAACATAGGCTATGTAGCTGGGCTGGGGAACCCACACCCAAGGCAGATGAGGTCACTTACAACAGCTGCCCATTGACTAGAAACCTTCCCAGTGCTTTCTGAAATTTTCCATTTGTGGCAAATCACATCAGCACCTGAAAAACTTTTGGATTTTGGAATTTCAGATAAAGGAGACTCAACCTGTATTAGAGTAAAAATGTAGCAATGAATGAAAATAAAAATCATTTTTTTGCTATCTGTAGCAGATTTAAAAACTAGTTTTTACAGATCCAGCTGATGACTTCAGTAGGGTTTTGATAGTATATTTTATTTTAAAAAAATCTTGGTTCCAATCTAACGGAATGATTACTAGATAAATTGTACAGATGCATGCTGGGATTTTTCCCTCGCCAATAAGATAGATACATCCACCATATTTTTGTTCTTTCTTGTCTTGAAGTCAGAATACTACAATCACTTGACTGTATCTCTTTAGTGTGTTAACTCCATTCTTATTTTGTGAACTTTTTTCCTTATTACTGCTGCTTTGCCTAGTTTTGTCTAGCATACATATTGTTTGCTTAGTATTATTTTTGCCCTGTTCTTTTTCTTTCTTTTGTTATTGTTTATTGGAAACTTTGTCAGTTCTGTTTGTTGGGCATTTTTGCCAGTTACTTAACCATGGCCAATTACTCTACAAATCTATTTTAATTTAATCAGTCCATTTTTGGTTCCCGTGTTTCAGAAGAATGTGTAATTCACAGAAACTTAAGATTAAAACTAAAAATCTTAAGAGTTTAAAAAAATTTTTTTTGATATTTTTAAGTGACTAAAAACCAAACATCACTGTATGCTATAGCCCTTTTTATGAGCTTATATGCTTCGCACAATGGAGATATATCAATCATGAGAAACTAAAACCTGATTGTTGAAGGGTCGCCACTTTGTGATTAATGTCAGTATGCTCAATTGATTTGGATTCACAGTTTTCCTTCTTTGAGATTAGGTGCAGTGCTATGCAAGAGACTTCACTCTGTCCTGTTAATCAATAGCTAAGGGTAGAAGAGATAAATTCTTGCTTTTTCCAAGGCTGGTAGTATAAAGTAAATGCAACAGACTTGACCAAAAATGTAGATTTGGATTATTGATTTCATTTTTGGCACCAACAACTATTACACTGCTGTCACATAGTGTTCATAGTTTTATTTAGGATAAGATAATTTTTTTTTTATTAACTTTCACTGCAGTATTATTATAGCATTGTTGCCTGGCTATACTGGCCCATTTTAGGAAAAATAGGAAATTACTGGAAATAAATGATTATAAAGATGCTTTTACAAACCTTCATTTGACCAATTCCTGTTTGATTTGGGAGCAACATTGTACAAGATACACAGGCGAGTAGCATCAATGCCATATTGTTGCAGTACATCCTTAAAAAATAATGAAAAATTTAATCTTTCAGATTTGTTTTTTACAGTTTATTAAAATTTTGCAGGTTATTTAAAGCCAGAAAATACTTTTAGACTGTAAGATTTTTTTTTTGAGACAAAATTAACCCATAGCTGGGGAGAAAAGAGATGGATTCATGCATTTCCCAAGTGTATTTGTGTTTAAGTGAATATAATGAACCTGACTGGAATTGGAACTCGGCTCTCCGATTTCCAATTCAGAGCAATTAACCATTACACCATCTGGACATACAAGATTGCAGCACCTGATATTCCCAAGCAATCACCCATCTAGGTACTGACCAGGCTCGACCTTGCTTAACTTCGGTGACCATACAAGAACTGGTGTTTCAATGTGATATAGCTGTAAGCACAGTAGAGGTCAGTGGGTGTGGTGGCCATGGGCATCCAATCAAAGAGTGAAATAAAAATTTAGTTTTTGAAATTTGAAATGGTCGCTTAACTTCAATGTACAAGTGCCCTACAGTCCCACAAGCTGGTGTGAATGTGGATCTGTGTTTTGATAAGTGAGACTGGAGTAGGCTCACCTACTTGAGTTTTAGGGGCAGACTATCAAGCAGTTGGCCCCAAGAATCACTAAACCTCTGTACATGACTGTGTAAGCAGTTAATATTTTAGGATGAAAAGATCAGATTTGTTGTTATAAAGCAATAGACTACTATACCATTACACCACCAACTGTTTGGTTCATATGGAGAGATTATATGCTTTTTGCTGAATTATTTTTTTAAATATCATCTTCCTTCAGGATGTAGGCAATCATGGCTCTCTGCAGATTCTTTTTTCTTTATTATCTGTGAATCATAATGACTTCTTGGGAAAGATAATAGAATGGTTTCCCATAAACTTTTTTTTATGGTTTTGAATTCAGTTTTCCTTTTCCTAAATTAGCTGCCATTCAAAGCTAGAGAAGTCATTTTACTCTGCTATTTAACCTATTGATATAATGGAACAGCCTGTCACCCCCATGAGTGACTACACTATAGGTAGTAATTACCTATAAGTATCTGTAAGTCAATGGACTACAGAGTGTAGCTGGGAGGTGTTCAGTGCAACTCAGACTTACGAGAGAACTACCAACCTTCTAATAGTAGCACTCACAACTGGATTGACTTGCGACGATCATGCACATAACTGTTACCTTATTTCTTATTGTACTTGTTTTTTCAATAAACATTTACTTATATTATCCACCATGTTGTTCAAGTATATATTCCTATTAGCATGGGATATAACACCTATATATGGGGGAAGAGAAGAAATAGATTCATGTCTTTTTCAAGAGATTTGTGTGAAAGTGAATGCTCTAGACTAAGCTGGAGCTTGATCTCACCAATAGCTATAATAAAAGACAACTTCTATCATAGGGATCAATAATATGATTATACAACATAGTTATAGATAGGTGGATAGCAATAACACTAAGGGGACTACCATCAGCAACAGGTCAAAAGACCTTATCATTCCTGTCATTGACAATTACTCTAAAAATTAAATTTTTAAGACAATTGCTAGGTCTGCTACTAGAAAAGTTGGTTCACTGTGTCATGCTAGACAATTTTTCTTGCCAGAATCTATCTTACACCTTTATAAAATTTCTCCATGTATTGAATATTTCTGGTGCATCTGCTATATGTTTAGAGATTCTTGACAAAATTCAAAGAAGAATCTGTAATGTATTCGGTCCTGAGCTAGCATCTTAGCTTGAATCACTTTCCCATCACTGCAATGTAGCTTTCCTATGCTTTTTCTATAAATATTTTCATGGTAATTGTCCTGCTAAGCCTTCCTCTTTGCAACCTCGATTTTACAAATTTAAGTCTAGTACTACATCGGCAGCTACAGTTGAAATTGCTAGATGTAACCATAAACTCTATTCTGACAGTTTCTTCTCTCACAATTTTGTTTCTTGAACTAACCTCCAGCTTCTTGCTTTCCAATCAACTTTGATCTTCAAAAATTCAAATGCACCTCACCCTTTCAATCTGAACCTCCCTATTGATACTTACCACATAGTGGAAGAGAATCAGCAAGGATAAACCCTGGTTTAATTTAGCAAGATCGAGTAAATCTAGTATTGATAAAATTCAACCAAACTCTCTCCATTTCCACCTGATGGAAACCATAAAACTGATTAATCAAAACTTTGTGGTATCAACAGAAAGAATAAGAATAACTCTTCAAATAATAGGGTCTTTTCAAAATTATAGAAGGCAAACAGAAAACGAACAGGCTGAAATATTGAGGTAACAACAAAAGCGACAAAAAGATCAATAATCAGAACAACTGCCAGAATGATAATGACTCATCTCAAAATTACAAAAGAATAATAAAAATTAGGACAAATAATATGAAGCCAACAAAGAAATAGATTTACATTATTTACAATTGTGCTACTCTGATTATTACAACATTTTGACCACTGTACCCTCCAGCTTTCTTCACATGTCTGCTGATCTGAGTAATCATATAGAATTTCAAACTAAATAATTTACTTAATCTATAGGGACATGAACAATCTATACATTGTTCATCCTAGCCAATAAAATAGGCCAGTTCTCAGTTTCATATAACCCAGTCCATGTTTGTCTTGTCATGAAGTCAGAATGCTACATTTTCTTATCCGAATTTGCTTTTGTGTCTCAATGCCAATTCTTAGTTTGTGAACTTTTTGCTTTATTACTGTTAATTTGCCTTGCATATATTGTTTGCATGTTTTATATTATTTTTTACCCTGTTCTTTTCTTTTTCTTGTTATTTCTTATTGCAAACTTTGTCAATTCTGTTTGTTGGGCAGTTCTGTCATTTATTTTGCACTAGCCTAGAAGGTGCTCTTTGGCCAGACTTTAGGCTAGTGCTTGCAGAGGGCTTTTGGGTTTTCAGCCTTTTACCTTCAGTATCCTATGTATGTCTAGTTCTTATTTTTAGTACTGTTTAGTTACTGCTCGCCCTGTTTTCACCGAGTCCAAGTACACACTGCTCGGCCCAGGGATTGAATTCACAATTAGTCACCAAATTCACAATACAATGCTTTAATCTACTAGACTATTGTCATATAGGACAATTTTCTGTGGAGAACTTGGAGCCTTAAACCTAACATGGCTGCTGATTTGTGCTTCTGCTGTTTGTTGTGCTTGACAGCACTCATTGAAGCTTCCCTTTCAATACAGCTGCTGCTGCTGTTAAAGACTAGCTGTCATCTCTTTCTTTCTACAATATGGGAGCCACTAAAATGAGGATAATAGTTTGCATGTAAATAATGTGAATAAAAACGTCATTGTTTTAATTTTCTTCTCTTACCTCAGGATCAACTCCATTGTATTTTGACTTGCTCATTTTTTCCCACTGAACTTCCACTAGAGCACCTGTTTTAATTTCAGTTGGCTGTTCACCTGAAAGTAGAAAATAAATTCAGAATTAAGACATATTAAAATTTTTACTTTCTTTTTCTTCCTGGACCAACCAATATCATTAAAGAAATGGTAACCTAATTAAAGTTAAAGATTTGTCAGGCTGAGTGGTGAGAATAAAACCTGGGTTTGAATCTCACCATGATTTACCAAGAACAGTGATTTCTTTATAATATTGGCATGGGGAGATGCCACTGATGAAAAGTCAGAAGTCATTGTAATGGTAGATTTGAGCATATTGGTTTTGTTCAACTACTGATTATGCCAGAACATGCATTCTCTCCCAGAAACTGTAACTAAGGTCTGCAGTATGCTTGTTTCTGTGTGAAGAAACACAAATGTGCCTGAGAAGCATTTGCAACGGGGATTCACTAGTCACTCTAGCAGACAAACTCAGAAATAAGTAACAAATCACATTGATTTTTGAGATTGACAGATGTCATACATGGCATTTCATTTGTCGATCTCAAAAAACTATGTATCTGTACCTGAAAAGTTATGCCCTCTCCAAGGTGCAAGCCTGGGCAATTTTTTTTTAAACAAGTCAGACACACATACAATATATATATTATATATTCTAATATGTTTCATTGAATAATATAGACATGCTATGTCTATTTGCTTTTATAATAATCCTTTCTAATTCTCTAATCAGTTTCTTTTTTTTCTTATCCAAGTACAGCACCTTCCTTGATGAATTTCATCTAATATCAAGAAACTAATTATAGAACTAGAAAGGATTATTATAAAAATAAATATGTCTATATTATTCATTGAAACATGTTTGAATGAAGATATGCTGCCTATATATAACATGTGAATTTCCTTTCATTTTTCATTTCAGCTTTTGGAAGTAAAGTCTGATGATCCAGAACCCTGTTAAAGGGGTTATGGTGAAATAGCTTATTACATGGAATCTTAACGTGGTCTGTTTTTTATTCAAACATATCTGCTCTGAATTTTACATTGAGCTCTCTGGATATCATCCTCCTCAGGTCTACCCATACGGATTACCTAAGTTTGCATAAACTAAATATATATATATATATATATATATATATATATATATATATATATATATATGAGAGAGAGAGTAAAGTTGGCTGAGACTAGCATCCTAATTTTGATTACTTAGGATATAATGTTGGATAAAAAAAATCCTTGAATTCCTTTGAAATTACCTTGTTTACGTTTTGGACACAAAAAAAATTGACCAAATATGAGCTTTCAAGAAGAATGCACATCCTCTCATATAGAGAGGATGTGCATTCTTCAAAAAAAAAAAAAAAAAAGCTAATTGAACCTTGCTGGGATGTGAGGATCTCTATAGTCAAGTAATCTAAGTACATTTGATCAGAAAGGTGAACAAAGATTTGAACCATGCTGAAGAGCACATTTTTTTAATTATTATATTTTATATTGTTTTATATACGAGTCTGATTTTTATTTTTTATTTTATATCATATCAACCTGAATGGGTTATTTAATGCTGACAAGATTTTTTACAATAGATTTGTATAAATAGACTATGTATTCTTTGTAAGATATCCATATGTAAATCAGGTTTCATTGAGTGAGAGTAATTGTGGATTTAAATGCAGCTTTTTGACTATTTATAGTGTTGTTAACTTTTTTATTTATTATTGATTATTTTATTGTTAGTTGTTATTACTACATTTTCTTGTGCTTATCTGTGCATTCGGGGGTTTGTTATTTTGTTTATTATTTACTTATTTGTTTGGATTAATTCATTTGACTTATTTTTGTTTATTTATTTTCATTTATTCTTGTTTGTTTTCAGTTTTCAATTTTTAAGTAGCATGGCAAAAAATCTTTTCATGTCTGCATTTTGAGATGAGGTCTAATCATTTATTTAGTAGTTTGTGTTGGTCTGGTAAAGTAATTATAGCTATTTTTATCTCCAGGTAGAGTTTACA